TCCAATCTAATATCTTCCCTCTGCATCAATCCCTGAAGGGCGTTTCCTAGAGGGTCGCATAACCAGATTGCAGGTAAGCTTTGCATCCTCACGGTCCACATGGGCCTCCAGCGTCTTCTTCCCACCAGAGCCAGTACTTTTTCAGCTTCAGCTGGGAATTCTTTTGTACGATTCAAGTCCTCATCCCCTTTTAGTGTCTTGTTCAAAACTTTCAATCCATGTCCTTCTACTCCATAGTGGTCTGTAGAGGGAAATCTCTCAAGGAATTTCTGAAAACCATTAAGAGTCTGTAACTGAATTCTCCTGATTCCCCTTTGTGTGCTATAATTTTCTGTAGACCTATTTTATATTCCAAGGAATTCATACATCTCCCCTCTGTTTTTTAGGGGGCAGTTTGTAATCCCCACAGAGGTAAAACTTTCTTTACTTCTTTGAATATTTTTTCCAAGTGTTTGGCTTTAAATCACTCAATACAATATCATCCACATAATGGTAAATTATAGAGTGTGGACACTGTACAGTAATGCTTTTCAATATTTCAATATTTTTTCATAAAATATCGGGTCAGGGTGGAGCTTGTCAGCATTTCCTGTGGGAAGGCCTTCATATCTCTTGAACACCTGAGAAGTATGTGAAGGCACCATGAAGTCACCATTTTCTCTATCTTTTTCAAGTAAAGGTATAGTGAGGAAACAGTGTTTTAGTCAGTATCTGTGATAGGCCATTCTGTAGGTAACAGAGACTGCAAGGACACTCCAGGCTGAAGACAGCCCATCAGCTGAATTACTTTACTTATGCATCTCGGGTCTGTCAGCATTCTCCATTTTCCAGATTTCTTTTTTAAAAAAATACAGGAGATTCCAAGGGCTGGTGGATTCTTCAATATGTCCAGCATTTAGCTTTTCCTGACCCAGCAGTTCTAGGGCCTATAGTTTCTCTGAAGTCATATGCCATTGGCCAACCTAGCGGGGATTGTCAGTTAACCATTTCAACAGTAGGGCTGTTGGTCCTGTTGTTGTGGCCTGTTTTGTGCAACATGAGATGGTCTAAGGTGGGTGTCTGAGACTGCAGGAATGTTTATCTGGGTTTCCACTGCTGCAAAGATCATGACCGACAGATTCACTGATCTATATGACACCTATGACCTCAGCCTTGCTCTGTGTCCTTCTGAACCTATGCATTCAACCCACCTCTTGCTTTGTTTTACGAGAAATAGGTTTCTAGTCCCTAAGAATTGAACATCTGCTTCCTCAAAAGGCCAATTCAGAGCCAAGATTTTGGAGTGATAAAAGTCACATCCACACATGTGACCAAATATCCCTTAATTATAAGGTTATTTATTTCTACTTATTAGATATTTAATCATTATAGAAGTCTTCCAAAATAGACGTTTTCTCTTTTTTTCTGGAACTTTCTGTTCTTCCTCCAAAGCCATTCTGTCCTCCAGAGCAGTGTGATTTTTTAGTATAGTTGATGAATTTTCTAATTATTCTAGGAAGTTATGTTTTAAAGATCAAATGGATAAATTTGTGGGAGACAGGGGGCCTTCATACACTTCAGAGTTCTACAGATTATTGCATTTGAGATGTTTTAACAATCTCCTTTAGAGAAGATGATGGGCAGTGAAGTAACCCCACACTGAGTTTACTATCTTTGTGGTAAGTGTTAGCCACTGGGCAGAAATTGCTTTTGCCTTGACTGCTGACAGTATGCTGCCCAAATTGGAGAAGCAGCACAGAAAAGAGAGTGACTTACGAAATTTGCCAAGACAAGGTAAGACAAATCATGAGACTATCCTGCTTTATGAAAAGTCTGTCAGATCTGCTAGGCCTGCAGGCTGAAGATGGATGCCCAACATTTCAGAGGAAACTTGGGTGACTGCCCAGGAAGCCAGCTGTGTCTGTCATTAGTCACATTTTGGGGAAGTCCCTTGCATGCATACCCTATTTAATCAGATAATATTCTTTCTTTCTCAGTTCTCTGGTGGAGTTGAAGAGTTTATTCTTATAATTTATGTTGAGGCAGATTCAGTAAAGAAATTCACTAAAGAAATGAAAATTGTACAAGGTTGAAGGACTTACAAAGACACTTTGGGTATTGCAAGATGGAATAGGAAGTGAATTAGGTACAACCTTGTGGAACCACCAAAATAGGAGATACTGGATTAATTCTTGTGAATTTGTCACATATTTACGGACCTGACACTGTTGATGTATTTGTTGCCTGGATATTTTGTATATAGTTATTGTAGTTTTTCTATATAGTTTTCTTATATTAATTATAAGCTTTTTGATTTTTAGAACAAAAGGGGGAAATGCAAACTTTTGTTTGTGTTCTAACAAATACCCCTTGTCTTATGAACTGGGGTGGATGTAGACACTAGTTAACCATAGAGGCCAGGGCATGGCCTTCAACCCAAGCAGTTGGGAGGAGGTAGCAGGAAGACCAGGAGTTCAAGGCCACACTGGGGTACAGGAAATTCAACCAGTCTGAAAGACATAAGAGCTGGGTGCGGTGGGTCATACCTCTGGTGGAGATAGGGGCATAAGGCTGGAGGAGGCAGACTCTAGGCATCTTCATTTGGAGGATTTGTGAACGTGGAACCTCCCCCACACTTCCATCTGAGCATTTGGTATATGTTAGAAGTCCCTATAGTGTTGGCTCCTTTATTCTCTTCTGTCTCAACATTTACCCAATTATCTGACATCTCACTCCGGGTTTTTATTATTAAAACCAATTAGGAGAAATGCTACAGAGCACCTTTGACCTCTACAGACACACACACACACACACACACACACACACACACACAGGTGGGGGGAGACAAAGAGACAGAGACAGAGACACACAGAGAGAAACATACACACACATCCTAAACAAATGTAATAACAAAGAAGTCATGTCCCCAGAAGCCTGAGCCTGCTGTCCACACCCATCTGTGTTCAGAACACAGAGGTCCAGAGAGCCCTGTGACACAGGTACTCTCTCTACAACTGGACCATGGCCCTTTCAGGGGGCAGAAAGGACAGATTTTGTCGTCCAGATGCTGTGACTTCCTCAACATACACAGGGCCTCCCTGTCCTTAACTGTTCATGCTCCTGGGAGTTCAGTTGGGGAGGTCATGTGTGTGCCCTATGGACCTGTCCCACAGACACTCTGGCTGCAGTGACTGTGGTCTCCTGGCATGCCATAATGCATTCTGCCAGGGCATTTTGTCATTGCTGCAATTGAGCAGTGATGGTTTAATGTCTACTGGTTGTTCCCCCCATATCCGCTAACCTAGTCAATGCCCCATCTCAAATCCAAACAGCCAGGCTCCCCTGTGAATTGCAAGGCTTTTATTGTTGGAATCCTGGTTTAGACACCTGGAGGGTAGGGTAGGGCTTGCTGCATCTATGCAGGTGAGCAGGCAAGTGGCTTCCTTGAGTCTTCTGGCACAGATGGATTCATCAACAGTATTTGTTAGCATCTATTTTAGCCTGCAAAGAGAAAGCCAGTGAGCCATCAGAGGTGAAGGAGATGTCTCTGATCATACACAGGACACCTCTAGGGAGGGACCTGTACCTGTGTGCCAGAGCTCCTGGGCCTGACTAGGATCAGGGAGCCACCTCTCCATCCTGTCTCCCTCAAACCACATCAGGGCAAGCCTTGTAAACAGCCTCCAGTCCAGCCTGATGGAAAGAGTCACCTGCACTCAGGTCACCATGGGCACATGAGGGACAGAATGGAGAGACATCTGGGCAGGACCTGGAGTGGCTCAGGAGAGCCTGCAGGCAGGTGTGACCCCACAAGTGAGCTGATTCCTGTCACATGATGACCCTCAGACACAAGCAGCTGAGGTGGTGACTGATCCTACTAGTTCTAGGGACAAGAGGGGCTCAATTACATGCTGCACCTGAGTCACCTAGGCCTGGATTCCACAGAGTGGCCTTGGAGATCCAAGGACAAGAACAAAATGAGTGTTTGGGAATGTGGTGGTAGACTTGACAAGTTAGGATAAAAGATCCATTCTGGAGAAAAGGTTCCGGGCCCCGACTGGTGTGGCTGCACCCAGAAGGCTGGGCCAGAAGTACTGATGGAGGCCAAGTGGTATCAGGGGGGACAGGGATCCTCAGGGTCTAGTCTGGCTGGGCCGAGTGAACAGCCAGGCCTAGCTCAGGCTGCCTGATTGTCCCTTCCTGCCCCATCCTCCTGAAACCAGCAGTTAGGAGAGCCAACTTTCTTTATGCACACAGAAGTTGCAGAGGAGGGAAGGAGCCCAGGCTCCATCTCTAACTGGGGTGAGCAGGGCAGCTCCCGGGACAGACCCACGAGAACTCACCAGCAAACTGAGTACATTCTCCTTGTCTTCCTCTGTCAGCTTGTTGTCAACACATGTCTTCAGATTTTTAGCATTTTCCAGAGTTGCGTTGTCTTTCTTGTATTTCTCAACAAACATCAGATAGTCAGGCACAGATGGGCCAACTAGAAGCCCAACCTCCTCCTTTATAGCTGGGCAAATGCCACAATCTGGAACACAAAGAAAAGGGGATCCTCCCTTGAAACCTTGTGTCAGAACACAGGAGTCCTTGCTGGGGAAGTGAAGGTGTGAGCGCCCTGGAAACCCCAAAATCCCCAACACCCACAGCCTAGTACCTACCTCCCCCTGAGGTCAGGAGCAGGGCAGCCCCAAGCAACAGGAGAGCACCAGGGAGCTTCATGGTAATGGTGGCAGGGGCTCCTACCCAGCTCCGGCCCCTTCTATACCTGCCCTGGGCTGCTCAGTGGGCAGGGAGGGGCTGTGTCTGAGCCCCTCCCGACTCCTCCCAGAACCCTGTGTGACACTCCCTGGGGCTGTGTCAGGGGAGATGTGTATTTTGGCAAGAGGATAAGATCCTGGTCAACAAAGGGCCCTAGCTAAGCCTGGTCTCCTTCTTAGTGCTCTGCTCAAGGTCACATGTCATATGAAGACCAAAAGAAATGACTAGGGAGCCAGGCAACAGGCCCCTCAACCAGGCCTCCAGGATGAGACCTAGGTCACCCTGTGAGGAAGGGAACTCTAGGTTTACTTAAAAGTCAATGTTTAGGATAGACCAGTAGTCAATGTTTAGGATAGACCAGATCCCAGACACTTGCGGACCCTGCTCTGACTGTTTCTGTCCCCGCCCCCATCTTTCCCTTACTTCATGGCTCCCTTGAACCACTCTCTAACCCTGAAGTCCTCCTGCTGTTGTAGTCATCCTTCAACTTGATCTCTTCCTTGTTCTTTTGAGGTAGCATCTCTAGACAGTGCCCTCCTGTCCTGGAACATCTCTGTGTAGACCACGCTGGCCTTGAACTCTGAAATCCACCTGCCTCTGCCTCCTGCTTGTAGGATTAAATGTTTGCTCTACCCAGCTAAACTGGACCTCTTAAACCTCTTGTTGATGTTTCTGGAGTATTTCCTGTAGAATCTTACCCAGGTTAACCATGAGTTCATAAACCTCCTAAGAAGGGAGAGTGTGTGTGTGTGTGTGTGTGTGTGTGTGTGTGTGTGTGTAGCATATGGATGTGTGGTTTATGTGTTTCTGTAATATGTATGTGTGGTGAGGGGTGCATGTGTGTTGTTTGGGGTTGTGTGTGTATATTGTGTGTTTATGGTATGTGAGTTTCTGGTGCATGTGTGTGCTGTGTGTGTTATGTCTATGTCAGTGTGTGGTGTTGGTGTGTGTGGATTATGTGTGGACTCTGTGTGTGTGGCATAGGTGTGTATGTGTTTTGTATGCATATATGTGTGTGTGTGTGTGTGTGTGGTGTATGTGTGTGGTGTGTATAGTATGTGGATGTGTGGTGTGTTCCTGTGTATTGTGTGTGTGTTTCTACAGTATGAAATGTGCTATGGTATGTCCTGCGTGTGTGTGGTACTTGTGTGTTGTTTTAGGTGGTGTGTGTTTGTGGTATATGTGTATGTTAGGTGTGATGTGTGTGTGTAGAATGTGTGTGTGAGTGTGGTGTGTGTGGGTTGTGTGTGTCATGTGTGTGTGTAATGTGTTTGTATGGTGTGTGTATCAGTGTTGTGTGTGGAGTGTGTAGCATCTGTGTGTCATGTGTGTTTGTGTGTGTGTGATGTATGTGTGGTATATGGTGTTCTTGTTTCTGTGTGTGTGTGTGTGTGTGTGTGTGTGTGTGTGTGTGTGTGTGTGGTGAATTCAGCTTCCCCTGTGTCTGGCTGTAAGCACTGTTAAAATCCACTACCAATGCCTGGTGTGGTGTCGACACTTTCACTCCTAGCACACAGGAGACAGAGGCAGGTGATCTCTGTGAGACTGAGGTCACCCTGGTGAACACAGGCAGTGCCAGGCCAGCCAGAATTACTCTGTGGACCCTGTTAATATCACTACGACAATGTAAAACACTATGTAAGAGGGACAGGCAGCTATGGTTGCAACTCGGCTAGGCCACACACATCAGCCCCACCTTGAGCCTTGGTGCCCCGTGTGGCAGTGATGAGAGGCAGTGATGTGGGTGCTGACAAGCAGGCCGAGCCCTGCTCTAGTTCTGACTCCACCAGCTCCCTCACCTCCCCACCCCTCACCCTGAGTCCACACAGTGCAAGCAGTGTCTAGATGTGGCTGCCCTATCTGGGGCTGTCAAGACTCCAGACCATGAACCAAATTAACCTCTTTCCACATACAGTGCTGAGTCTGGGGAGTTTGGTCACAGCAATGGAACACAGATTACAACACCACAGTACACGTGGACCTGTACATAAGAACAAGCCTGGGCTCCACCACAGCTCGGGGTTCTACACCCTTTTCCCCGCTCCTCTGTCACTGGCTGCTTTTGTGTCCCTTAGATGTCTAAGGGCTCAGGAGAGCAAGGCCTGTGCCACTCTGTCCCAGGGACACCACATAGGAGGTCTCCACCATGGTGGTTAGATGGGCTGGAGGGCTAGCTGGCTTCTCTCAAGTCTATAAACAAGACCTTTCTGAAAACATGAAACAACAGGATCTGTCCACATAGCCCAGGCTGGCCTCAAACTCTCCACACCCTTGCCCCCCTCCATATTCACCTTATATAAGTGCTTGTGTAATTTGGCTGGAATTCATTTTTAAAAGTAAAGACTCTTAGTGTTTTTGATCAGTCAGAGCTAAGTGGTTTGTTGTTAAAGGCATTGACAGTTATTTCTCTCCATCAGGAGTGACAGATGAAGTTTGCCAAAGACTTAGAGAGGCATTAGCCTTTAACTTTCTGCCCCCACAAGCCAAACAGGATCTGCATCCAGTAACCGTTTTTGGTAGAGGTGCCAAGCACTAATACCCACTCGTGATCTGTCCACCATGTCTTCTCGTCCTTGTTTTGATGGCCTTGCAGGTCCCATGGCTGCTGAGGCCCAGCTAGGCCTTTTAATTCCTTGGAAGCATTAGGAATGGAGATAAGGGCTTCCTGTGGCTATGAAATGTCTACTGGGGCTTGACACCTGCCAGTTTGTCAGAGCTGGCATCAGGATTTTTTTGTAGACCTCACAGAGGTTTAGTGCCTTGACTCTGGATGCCAGAGAACACATGACAGCTACACCTTTCCCCACTGAGTGGAAATTCTCACTTGAGCCATTAACATTCTGTGACCAGATATTTCTATCATTTCCCTACATACTCACGTTGTTCTATATGTGTGTGTGCGATTTCTTGTGTCTTGTGTCTTGTGTGTGTGTGTGTGTGGATGTGTGTGTGAGAAAGAGAGAGAGAGAGAGAGAGAGAGAGAGAGAGAGAGAGAGAGAGAGAGAACTTGCCCATATGTTCATTTTGGGTGCGGTTACTTGTGTGGTGGCTAGTTTTATGTGTAAAGTCATCAGAAAGACGTAACCTCAATGAAGATCAACGTGCCTCCAATCGGCAGTGGTGGTGCACTCCTTTAATCCCAGCTCTCTGGAGGCAGAGGTAGGTAGATCTCTGAGTTTGAGGCCAGCCTGATCTACAGAGAGTTTCAGAACAGCCAGGGATACATAGAGAAACCTGGTGTGGAAAAGCAGAGAAACACAATAAAGAACGAGAAAAGAAAAAAAAAATGCCTCCGTAATTTTGGACTGGAGGCAAGCTGGTAAGGCATTTTCTCTCTGTGTCTCTGCCTCCCCTGAAGACGGGGTTTCCTGTGGAACCCTGGCTGTGTTAAAACTCACTTTGTAGACCCTGCTAGCCTCAAACTCAGAGATCCACCTGTCTGTGCCTCTCAAGTCTGGGATTAAAGGTATCCAGCACCACTCCCTGGCCGGGCATTGTATTAATTTTGACCATTGTGGGATGCCAAAGCCCCCTGCAGCTGATGCCATCTAATGGCTGGTGGTCTTCTGTTATATCATCTAGTAGGTTGAGGAAGCCATGGAAAACAAACCAGTCGTAGCCCTTTCCCAATGGCCTCTGCGTCAGCTCCTGCCTCAAGGCTCCTGTCCTGCTTGAGTTCCTGTCCTGACTTTCATGATGAACGATGCTATGGAAGTATAAGCCAAATCAATCCTTTCCTCCTCAATTTGCTTTTGGTCATGGTATTTATGATAATCACACTAATCTTTTTATTCATTTATGTATTTACATTTTCTTTTTCCAGACTGGGTTTCTTTGCATTACAACTATCCGGGAACTCACTTTGTAGACCGGGCTGGCCTAGAACTCACATAGATCCATCAGACTCTGCATCCTGAGTCCTGGGATTAAAAATGTGCACCACTTTGACTGGCTGAGTAATAGAAATCTTTTTTTTTTTTTTTTTTTTTTTTTTTCACAAA